CCTTATACAAAGAAAATTAATTACCTGTAGAAAGTCCCACCACAACACCTCCCCATTACAGTTACTACAGCATTAAGTAAAATGCAAAAAGCAGAATTTCCAGTTCAATATTATATCTTTCTGTAATATAATTCCTAAAGCAATACAATGACAAATGCTTCTTTTTCACTTTGTGTTGTACTCATGCTTTGACTCTATCTTTTATTTCTATTATCTTAAGGCGTTATCAAAGCCGCACTCAAACATTCTCAGTGAATTTTAATATCTATTATTGCTTAACATCTTTTGCCTGACAATAAGCAGGAGAAAGACTTAAAGGCAGCACGGTAGCTGCTGTGAAAAAGATGAGATCATATCGCCCCCATAAAACATTTTTACACTGCTGGCTAACTGACTTTTAGATTTCCCAGATTACTGAGAAGACGCTGCAGGGTCAGAAGCACAGTCGCATTTAGACTAAAAACACCATATGAGATAGACCTTAGCACAATGTCTCAGAGCAAAGATGTTTCAAGACTCTTTTCTTACTGCAGCGGGTATCAAAGTGCACGGTATAGTGCACTATGTTGTTCACCACATTAATCACGCAAGGTTGTTCTAAAGTGGAGCTTATAAGCCTGTCATTACAAATAAGTTATTGCAGTCTTTGAAAACATTTGAACTACATTTCACTTATTAAATAATAAAGTGTTTAAATTTTAATGATCTGGGGAAGTTAAAGCTGTTATACTCACTCAGAATTTGAGGCAGTGGGTCTGGAAAAAAAATTGTTTTATTGATAAATGACAAGAAAAAAACAATTCTTGTTTAAAACTTTATCACCTAGCTTATCCGCAGTTCATCTTAGACATTTGAACAATGCCGGTTTTATTTGCCATTTTCTTAATAATGATAAACAATGAAATTACTAATGAAAAATACACTTATCAGGTACAAAGTGATTAATAATTCATTACAGCATTGACTGGTCCAGAACCCATATTCCACTCACTGGCAGTCATTTTGAGACATTGATTTCATGATAGTCTCCTATATCTATCTTCATGATATGTCCCATATTATGGAGATATTGGAGACAATCCAAGTTATAGAAACTGTCCTATAGTTTCTATAACTTGAGACTATGGGCTATGTATCTTGCAGACAGTAATCAACAGTCTTGTACAGTTAGTATTTTTCTTTGCACTAACTTATAGTATTTATGACTGGAAAACAAGAAAAAGAGCCAGAATATCCCTTACTTGACATTATCTAGACTATGACAATCTGCAATTTCAGGTACAGATTTAATAAAAACTTATTTAAATAATTAAACAAGAGAATTTTGAGTAAAACAGTCCTTGAGGGGAAGAAGGCAAGAGCAAACACTTTAATTTGTTGATAGGGTGATAAATCATTGTTATAATAACTGAGTTGATTCACGAGACTTGCACCTGTTTACACTGATAGTGACATTCATGTGTCATGAATCAAGTAAACCCATAACTGGCAGCATTAATCCATAACAATTTATGGGACTGTTAAGGTAGATGCATATGAAGTGTTTGGAGATACCAACAGCCTCACAATAGGGTCTAGATATGAACACACAGTGACGCTGTGTGTGAAAGAGATCATCCTCTTCTAGTCATGTCCTTAGGTATGTTACTGTTTCTTTACATAATGATGTTGCCCTAAATATTATGAGGTCTCAGGGTTCTTCCTGTGAAGTTATTGTTTAAACATAATATTACAATACAAAGAATTTTTTCTACAGGAGCATGAATAATATTAAATGGCACTAGGAGTCTACATACCTGCCTGTTATTTTCTGGGTGTGTAAAGAATGTCAAAGGAGAACCAGTAGTAATATTAATGTGGAAGATATCTGACTTGAGTTCAAATATCAAACAACTGGAAATAGACAAGTCTCTAATATATTGAGAATAAACACACAAATGTCCTGACAATTTTTTTTTTTGAGAAAAATGCAGGCTCTATATGACTTCATTTAAAATATTTCTAAATATTTCATTAAGAAATATTGTCTTTATGGTGTGGCAAATGAAAAGGTTTTCTGCTATCTGAAGCAAAAATAAGCTTTTTAAAGTTCATTTTGATTAGATGCATTCTGGAAAGAAGATTCTAAATTTGTGTATTTCAAATTACAGTAGCATCATCTAGCTTTACAAAACAGTCAATATTTCAACTTGAAATTAAATGAGTTGACTTGAATGACTTAAAGAACTTTAAGTCATCCTGATAGATGACTTAAAGGGGATATTTTTCATTATCTGATAAACTTTTATGTGTAAAAGTGTTTTTTTCTGAAATAAAAGTGCAAGGTTTTACAATGCAGATGCAAAATTCCAGCACTGTGTGTGCAGCGACAGCACAGGGGTAAGGAGCATCATACATATACAGAGACCTTAGTCCTCAATGCAGCTGCTATGTGTTTGACTGATGATTGGCTTTAATTAGGGTGAGACCTCTAAATAAAATTTTGTTTAGGGACCTATACAATATTGAGCCAGATCTGATGTGGCTTACACAAGTTTTCATTTGCAGAACTGACATACTGGATTGTGAGGACAGTATTGGTGAGAAAACTCTTGCTTTCCCAATCAAAATAACATTTTCTTTCCAACAACAAACCTGTGCACATTAACTTTTAGTAAAACTGAAATAAATCATTCCACTGTGTCCTTCAAACAATCACTGAGTACCAGTTTCTTAGAATATGGGAGAAAAAAAGCAGCATTCCTGTGGTAAAGAGGAAAAATAATATTTTGTGAACCAAGTGTTGCATCTTTGTGACCACAAATCAGAAAAACCACAAAAAAAAACTACAAAAAAACAACAATAACAATACTAATAATAATAGTAATAAATAACAAACATGCACATATATGTATCACTATACAGTCACCAGGACTTCCAGCATGACAAAATCTTATCTCAGTGCAGAGAAAAATTTTACTTAAAAAACAATTAAGAGTTCATCTATTTCACAGTAGTTGCATTTTTACATTAGAACCATGTAAAACTACCAGAAATCCTTCAAAACCATTTTTGAATATTTAAATTACCCATGTCATATAGATGAATGGAGAGCCATAGACATAAATAGTCAGATGTCTAATATGTGATCCCTAACCTGACATTCATCCCTAAGGATTTTGTTACAGGCCTGAATGTGCTGTAGCAGCTCTTATATCAAAGAGTTGTAACAATGGACAGTCAAATACACACACACACACACACACACACACAAATTCTAGCTTGAGTCTAGGCTCTGTCACACAAACAGAAGCAGGTGGTAATAGGGCTATTCTTTATTCAGAGCAATGAATAATTCAAAATCTATGCGCCGAAACAGATTCTTGAGTTGACAGAGTAATATGACAGATTTTGCAACTGATGGGAAATATTGCAAATGGTTTGGAGATACCAGAGTGTATACAGATTTGCTCTAGGCAGTGTGACAGTTTAAGTGACTTGATATAAATGTGATATTTTGAAAAGTCTTTGATTGTGTACATTCCTTTTTTTCAACACCACTTATTCAATCCTTGCAGTCCAAATATGCAATTATTAGCTTGACTGAGAAAACACAGATTTGATCTTTCTTAATATTAATGGTTATTTGTGCCTTTTCATCTTCTAAGCAACAATAGACATAACACATTTGTTGTCATTTTACGGATTTATGGCAGACAGCTTAGTATGGAGTCTTGAAAAAAATCCTAAACTGATCGTAAAACAATGTTGGAATAAAATTGATCTTCAAAGTAACAGCTGAGTTTTAGAACATGCAGCCAAAATTATAAAGAAACAAGCTATAGTCCAAGTATGTGTGGAGAAGCAAAAATAATTTTAAAAAATGTATGTAAATAATCCACTGCACGTTTTCTCAATTACCCCTTCATTTTAGTTCAGTTTTAGTAATTCCACATTGAGCCACAGTTCTATTATAGATAATGACTTCCCTGCTGTGCTATTATTTCTTTTCATCTTGTAGCTAGTCCACATTTAGCCACACTTTGTGATGAATTTCCTCTTTCCTCCTGGTCATATAAAGCTGAAACATGCAGGGCGCCATTTCAGCTCTAAAAAAACCCATCCTTGCTCAAGAGACTAATGGCCAGGTTTCTAAGCTTGGAAATAAATTTGCTACTTTGCATTCAGTTGAGTGATACATGTTTTTATTATGTATGAAAACCTTATTGTTCAATAAGGCTTCACTTGAATTTCTCGCACCTATTAGCTGTCTCGAAGTCAAAAGGTCCATGATTGCTGGGGTCTTTATTAGGGCTGTGGAAAGTGGACTGGCTTGAGATGACCCCTGATGTTTTGCTGGCTGCCTGGGAAAGGCCCAAAGTAAAAAGCTGCCACTCACACGACATGGAGACCAACAATGCTAGAATTGCTGCAATCTCTGTCAAAAATCTGGCAACAGATTAACAATGCCACAAACACTGCAAGCCGCAGAATGCTGGGGATGAAAACAAGTTCTTTCAAATTGTCACAGTGCTTAATTTTGGTATGCTCTCTGAATGGTTTTGGAGCACTCTTTGGTGAAGCTGGCTCACAAACACTTCAAGCTGAAACTTCCTGGAGAGAAATCAACAAATTGACTTTCTTGGGTAGCATCTGCTCAGATGGAACCAATTTGGTCAAAAATGGAAAGAAATGACTAGGCTAATATCATCATACTAATAATTAAAGCAGCTGAACCAATCATCCAAGAAAAGCTTTCTTATGTCACAAATACATTGCTCTCTCAATGTTTTACATTCAGTCATCTTTATACTGAAACTAGTAAACAAAATCCAGTGCAAGCAATTGCAATTAATTTTCTCTGTGCAGGTCTCAGAGGGTTCCTCAAATTAGGAAAATAAACCACAGGATAATGTTACAAAAGACAAACTTTATATATATTTTAAAATCACTGTAGTTTATTATCAATTAAAATTTGACAAACTGAAGAAAAACATAGTATTTTGCAACAGCAATATTTGCTTGTTACACAGAAGTCAAAGTATTGCAATCAAAGTGAAAAATACTCTGATAACTGATACATTTACCTTCATGGCAATATTACATAGAATACAATAAATTAAATAATCTTTACTAAAACCAACATGACCAAACATCAAAGTTTTCATGGAAACTGCATTTCCAAATCATAAAATGCAGTTTCATGACTTTGAAACTGGTAAAACAATGTTTTCCCGACTTTTGCTTTAAAACTTGCAGTCAAAATTCTACATGTCTGTCGCTTTCTTCCTTCAAAGGAAGGAAGGGATTCAGCAATGTCAAATATTGAAGTTACATATTTTTCAAAACTTTACTGGAACCCCAACGGTACATCTTAAACATTTGGGCAAGTTTAAGACTTAGTGAACAGCCAAATAAAACCAACACGGATGAGTTCTGAGTTGGTCTCAGTCCTGAACTTTTCCAGAAATCATCAAAGGGTTGCTGGAAGATAAAGAAACAAAAACATGTTTTAATACATGAGATAAACAGCACATTGAACTGCATTTATGTCGGTTAAAGACAGACAGGATGAAAAGGACAGATATAGAAGACAGACTCTCTCTCTGACCTTCCTTCATTGTCGCTGTCCTCTTGTCTGTCTATTAGAAATGGACAAAACAGACAGAGACAGGCAGAAAAAAAGACAGACAGGGAGAGAGATGGAGTAAGATAACTTATTGTGAGTAATGTGTAATTTTATCATTTTAAAAGTTCCACTGGTAGTCCATGAAGAAAGCAAATGGAGAGATGGGGGGTTCACTGTTGTCCTAGTGTTTTCCATAAGTCGTCCTGTTGGTTGATGTCACTTTTCCGTTTGCAGCTTTTGTTCCGCTTTCTGGGTTGAGGCCTATGAATCGCCTAAAATCAGATGGGAGACTGTTTAAAATTGTCTTTGTTTTTTTAAAGTACATATTAAATATTTAGATTAGATGACTGTGAACTTCCAAATATTTTTTGTAAAGAAATTCCTGAAATAGTTCTCATCGATCTCACCTATGAAAAATTACTCTAGGTACCCAAAAGGCCAACGTAGCTGCTGAATCCGCTTGTGCCCTTGATCTTGTTTTTACTAAAAAATAATAATGTTCAATGATATTAGTTTTAATTTTAACTTAATTCTCAGGTATAGAGAGACATTTCCATAGACAGATACATTATGATGTCTCTATTCATATACTATATTTGCAGACAGACACCTTCTGTACCTTCATCTTCTGTACCTATGATGAAGCCCATGAAAACATTCTCAAAAAATGTTTTCTGATCTCAAACCAACCACGTCAGAAGATTCTTAGTCTTCCAGGTTTTTACATACAAGAAGGTGTATACAAAGTCAGTTTGTCTTAGTTTAGAAATGTTCCTCTACATTCATTTCCTGTGATGAGGCAGCACTCTGCTGTCGTCATCCAGCCAAAGACCTGTGTAATTCGCGCACGTGACTCTGCGGGCCAGTAAACTAGATGTGTCCAACGTTGACTAAAGACCCAACACAAGAAAGTTGAAACTGTTCAACACTTGGTGCTCTCTGCAGTCGCGTAAAAAGTATTTCGCTCTTTGTAGCTCCCTGTGTGTAACGTGCTGCTGTGAACCATATAACCCTCCGTGGGAGAGAGGATCTGATGTCGAAATAGATGGTTCGATTGATCTGCGTGATGTAACATCGGCGCCTTAAAATGTTATTTGCATGCACTAACAAGTTGACGCTGACAGTCCTGTGTGCGAGAAAAACAACAACAAAGCAAACTAACAAAGCAGTTGAGGCATCCTACCCTCAAATAACTTCCGCAAAAAAAGACCAGAATAAGGCCATCTGTATATTATAGGTGAACTGAACTAAAAAGCACTTGTGTTGCACATAAGGCTAGCTGAGAAATAACCGAAGTTAGCTTTAGCAAACAAGCGAGGGTAGCTCAATATAACCACATAAAATATATTTTCGTACACAAACACAAAACTGCAATACAATCTTTTTTAAAGAAGTACTTACCTAGTGAAAATCATTGTTGATCCCGCTCTCTAGCCTGTAAACTTTCGCCTCGAGCCAGTAAAACTCCCACAATGCAACTGTACATTACACATTTACAGTACAGCTGCACATTTCCGCATGTGATCCCGGGTCCAATCACATGCCATATTTTTCCAGACGCATTTCAGATCGCAGGAAGCTGTATTTTCAAAACCTAGCCACGTTACTGTAGTTTCATGCTGTAGTTTTTACAACCATTTGTGAGAGAGATTGTACAGAGCTGTGCACTTAAGTAGAGAAAATCTTGTCATAGCAAATATTAAAAAATTAACAACAAAAACTGAATACAAATAAATTCCACTATATATATAGAATATATAGGCAAAAAATATGAAAAAGTTAAATCTTCTGAACACTTTTGGAAGATACTGTAATGTAACATGCCTCCAGAAAATAAAAAAAATATATACACTGCTCAAAAAAATAAAGGGAACACTCAAAAAACACATCCTAGATATGAATGAATGAAATAAATATGAAAATAATTTCCACCTGTTCTCTATTCCATTTGCACAACAGCAGGTGATATTGATTGTCAATCAGTGTTGCTTCCTAAGTGGACAGTTTGATTTCACAGAAGTTTGATTTACTTGGAGTTATACTGTGTTATTTGAGTGTTCCCTTTATTTTTTGAGTAGTATGTATATATATAGATTGATTTGGCATTAGGCACTAAGAAAAACTGAAAAATAATTATGCTCTAAATATTTGTTCGCCTCCTGTCTTAAAGAACACCCACCTATGTGAACAAGTCTCCTCTCCATCCTTAATAAAAAAGGCAATCAGATCCATCCGAGTCCATTATGTTTCCATTCTCCGCATGAATTCAGCCAGTAGGCAAAGGAGGCTGTTGCAGACCCACTGATAACGTATTGTCACTGACAAACTATTGAAGCCAGGACCTTACGCGGGATTTAATTGACTGTTGATTGTTAAATAAATGCCTCTTAAAATATCAGGGCAAAGCGTTTGAAGAAAAAAACAAAACAAAAAAACAAAACAAAAAAAAAAAAAACAAGGAAAGATCGAAAGTTGTTGAGTAGGCGCGCAGGATACACACACACACACGCACGCAATCACTCCCCTGTGAACACATGTCTGAGGAGAGCGTGAATGGAGAAACCGCACCTGCAAAGAAAGAGACAAGTAACTCGCAACAACTTTTTTGTTTCCCGAAGACAGCTCAAGTTGTCCCGCAAGCGTTTGTTATTCCAGCAACGTGAAAGGTGGAAGCAGTGGCTTTGACCCACCAGAGAAGTAGGAGAGGAGTTAGAAAACCATGTCCCATTGATAGAGCGCATGGATTGCAGCAGTTCTGACCATATTTACTCCACCTGTCCTGAGGGGAAAAAAAACACTACAAAAAGTCCATAAACATCTTCCTGCTTGGAAAAAAAAAAGCAGCAGTGTTGTCTGAGCACTGAGGACGGTCCAGTTCACGGGGGAAACCCTTTTGACTCGAAATAAGAGAAGGCTGTGTTGGGTATATATAAAAAAAAGAAGAAAAAAAAAGGGGGAGGAGGATGGCAGTAAAGAAAGTGGTGATGGTGCCAGACGCAGCGGCAGTAAGAAGCGTACGTACGTGCTTTATCTTAGCGGCTGAGTGTGACGTGATATTGCAGCCTTGCTTCGAGAGCTCTGCAAGGACCAAGCAAGAGCGCGTCTGTTTCTCTTTGTGTTATAACTCAGAAGTCAAGCCAAACATCTCACATCCACCCATCAAAAGGATCTTTGATTTCTTTCCCCCTCCAGTCATCTTTTTTCTTTTTTTTCCAAAACGAGTGGAGAAACGCGACTTTAACAGAGGCGAAACCATTTGGGAGAAAAAAAATAGAGACGATTTAATTCCTGGGAACACAGTAAAGAATTCGCTCGCTTCTTCTCATCACTCCAAGAATTTCTTGTTTCCTTCTCCTTTTTTTCCCCCCTGTCTCCTCTCTCTCTCTCTTGGTATTTCTCTCTTCTGCTCGGTGGCTGTCGTGCGTTTGTTGCGCTCCGGTTTTGATGGGAAAAAGCCAGCAGAAGAAGAGGAAGAGGACAGGGAGGATATGAGCGGGCAGAGCGGAGTGTAACGCATTTTATTTCCATCCACTGAACCATCTTGTTGCGCCGGACTTCTATTGTCGGGAATGGGGAGTATTGATTCACCGAAGGGCTGCAGAATTTATTTATAAGGATGTGGCCAGTGTTGGGAAAATAGCCATAGCTTCCGCAGTGTAAGGTAAGATATTGTTTTAATTGTAACAATGATTAGGATTGTTAGAGATGAGGAAATTTTCCTGTGTCATGTCTAAAGTTGTCACATATTTGCCCCGTCAATATTCAACACGACGAACGATTATCCGCTCGCATTAGTCTGGGGTGCTTAACAGATATTTTCCAAAGAGCTGATCTCCCCCTTAAGAGACAAAAATCACTTTAAAGTGCTGCGGTATGAGATGTCGCCCCTACATGCCTTTTTATTCACATCTACTCTGAAGACCAAATTGCTCCAGGAAGCATGGACAGTAAAACCGGGACTCTCTTGACGAGCGATTCTCCGGAATACTGATTTATTTTGGGGTTTTTTTCTTTGTTTTTATGAATGCCATGCATGGCCACAAATCTTGCGGGAGGGCTGTGGGATCATACGGGTTTACATATCGCAGCAAAAGCTGATCTAACTCTGCACAGCTTCCGCAAATCCTTACATGACACATATTATGCCAGTCTGCTCGAACGGAGCTCCCCCCCCGCCCCCCTCCGTCTCATCATCATCCTAAAAGAAGTTGGGAGACGCAAATGTATTTATTCTCTGAAAAACTGCAATCTGCAGCTTACTTTGGGATTTTTCACGCCTACACTCACATACACACGTGCGCGCGCAAAAACAGGCGGGTACACACGGTTTGAGGAACGCGCACACGCATGCACATTCTGCTGTGACACTGCTCACAGCTGCATTGCCTGTAGGATTAAAGCAATCAGGACATCGCATTGCATTCTCTCCCTCTCCTCTCTCACGAGCCTGCGTTCATGCAACACTCGCGCACGCGCCAACACACACACACACTCAAACCCACTCAAATACTGGCTCTTTATCAAATTACATTATCAAATATGCCAAGCTCTGAATTCGAGAGCAGGTTCGTGCGTATTTCTGAAAGCGCGTAGAAAGAAAGAGAGAGAGATTTTAAAAAAATCGTCATGCATGAGGATGCATTAAAGACATATTGGCTTATTTGTGTTTTTTTAAATTAAATTCAGCCTCCTCTTATTATCTGACTGTGCAGCATATAGTCAAAAGAATACAGTTTGACTGAAAAGACCCTGGCTACTGCATAAAAAAAAAAAAAAACACAACAAAAAAAAAAAAACGTCGCATACTAAAACTCGTGAGGACCTCCATGCCAATATTCGCAATTTGTGTTTGATCAATATGCCATTCTAAACAGCAATATTCGAATATCTCATGAGACGGTGCCGATCCAAATATGACCCAATTAATAATGTCTAAATGACTCACATTATTGCGCCCACCTCCCTCAAAAATAAATAAATAATAAAAACACAGAAGGGCTTAAGCTGCCACAAGGTGGCAATGTTTGCACAAAGTATAGTGGGAAAAGGAGACGGGATGAGGGGATTGCAACAGACATGCTGCTGAGGTTAATGTGCCTTTTTTCGCCCTCTCCATGGAAGGACTTGGCGAGAACTATGTGAAGCATGTCAATTAGACTAGACAGAAATCATCCATAATGTGTCTGTGCTCTGATTTAATATTCTTTTTGCATGATGTTCTTCATCTTTCCCTGCAGGCCAAATGACATAGGATGAAGGCTGTTCGAAACCTGTTGATTTATATATTTTCCACCTATCTTCTGGTTATGTTTGGATTAACTGGTGCCCAAGATTATTGGTGTTCCACTCTGGTCAAGGGGGTCATTTATGGATCATACTCAGTGTCTGAAATGTTTCCCAAGAACTACACAAACTGTACATGGACGCTGGAGAACCCAGACCCAACCAAATACAGCATCTACCTTAAACTATACAAGCGAGACTTGAGCTGCTCTGAATACTCTTTGCTTGCTTATCAGTTTGATCACTACTCACACGAGAAGATAAACGAGTTGCTCAAAGTGAACGCATCCATTGTATATCTCTGTGATTCAAAGAATAATTACATATTTTTGCTGTACGACAAAAATTTTGCTCAGCTGCGGAGAGTTTTTCCTTACGATTACAATGGATTGACGCCGCAGAAGCTGGATGAGGAGGAGCAGTCTATCCTGGAGTTCTTAGTATTGAATAAGGCGAGCCCTAGCCAGTTTGGGTGTCAAGTGCTTTGTACGTGGCTGGAAAACTGCCTGAAAGCAGAGAAAGGGACAGTGGAGGCATGCGGGATCGTGTACACCAAATGCACATGTCCTCAGCATTTAGGCGATGGAGAATCAGAGAGCATGCTCATGCTCAATAATGTGGTTTTACCTTTAAACCCACAAACGGAGGGTTGCTTGTCACCTCAGCTACATGTCGGTCAAATCTGCAATCTGAGTGCAGAAGTAAGACGGCCTCCTAAAGAAGGTAAGTATCCACTTATCTTATTTGTTCTGCTCAACTAGTAGAAGATGTAATGCACTCTACTCTCTGCATAGATAAGATAGTAAACATGTCAATGAAATGTGCACGTCTGTCACTCCTTCCTCTGCCCTAAATGCATGTTTGAACTATGATGGCCCATGAAACAAAGAGCACACATAGATATATGGACTGCAGTTGACTTAGAAATCTGTGTCAACTGCAGATTCAAAGCTGACAGGGGAGTTGGGTGTAGTAAAGACCACGCTTGCACAAAGCAGTCCACCTAAGGGGTTCTTTCATTTGGTCAGACTAAATTAAAACGCATTGCAGTGAATTTAAAATGGATGTGTTTTTTTTTGTTTGTTTGTTTGTTTTTTGTGCACATCAGCACAAAGCTAAAATGGCTGCAAATCCAAAGATACTCTGTTTGTGTTTGTTTATACATTTATGTCACAGTCATCCTTACAACAATTGACAATACTAATCTGGACACATTTTTTTATTATTATTTGGCATTCAAGCCACTGGAAAAGAATGGGATCATTGATGCAGCAGTGTCAAATAACATTGCCCAAGCCAGAACTCAAAACTTTGGTGCTTTGTCTTAAATTCTAAAAGCTGTAGTTCTTTTCAAAAGTATTCATACCCCTTGAATTTTTGAATATCTTCTAAAAACCTTAACATATTGGACTTTTTTTTGTGATAGACAAATGCAACATTATTCAAAGCTGTATAGTGAAAAGAAAAGAATATATGCATTTTGCAAAAATGTTTTAATATCAAAATCCAATACGAATTAATTTTCTTCAAAAAGGAAAGCAAAAACAAAACAAAACAAAAAAACCCTCCCAATATCTCCAGCTCCCAGCATCTCAGGGACCATTTTTCAAAAAATCCTGAAAAAAAGATTATCTAACATGGCCATCCACCTACACTGACAAATAGACAAGAGGTTTATGATAACTGTGGAGGGGCTGCAGAAATCCGCAACTCAGGTTGAATAACCTGTGGATATGGTCCATAAATGTATCCTTTATAAAATAGTGTTTAGATTGTTGAATTATTAAAATAATTTTGTGTGAATTAAATCTGCTGATATTTACAAGCTATGTACAGGAAACAGCAAACATTGTGGAGGAAGTCCCCTGTGGTCAGATTAGAGTATTAATCTTTTTGGCCTATATGAAAAATACCGTGCGGCTGAAAACTACCACCCTAAACTTACCACCTCCATCTTGATGCATAGTGGCAGCATGATGCTGTGGAGATGCTTTTCGCCTATGTGAACGTGGAAGTTGGTCAAAATTGATAAATGGAAATAAATATAGGACAATCAGAAAACCTGGAATACTGGAAAAGACTTGATATTGTGCTTAGCATTTTGGCAGGATGATGACACTATTGTTATAACCAGAGCTTCAGTGTAATTGTTGAGTTCAAAAGATTATCTGGTTCAATAGTGTAGAATAAAATCTGTCTTAGATTATATACTAAGATTCTCAGATAGATCTAGTTCACAGGCCAGTAATGTTTCACACTCTATGTTCAACATGAACAAATTAGAAATTTTCTGCAATAAAAGTGGTCAACAATTTTAGCTGTGCAAGATGTTGCAGCTGTAATCACAGTAAAATGGAGTGATTATACCTATACCACACATTTAGTTTGTATAGAAAAATGTAAAATTGTGTATTCTTTCCCTGCCACTTTACAGTTATGAGCTATTTTGTGGTAGTCTATCACATATAATCCCAATAAACTACATTTACATTTATAGTTGTTACAGTTGAACATGTGTAAAGGGGGTATTGATACTTTTACAAGACACTGTAAAATCAAAAATGTTTGAATAAAACCTTCACTGTTTTGGAGGTGGTCAACAGGTATGTTGCCCATTCAGTGTTGCCATAGAGCAATGCAACGTCTTTTTTTTGTGTGTTTGTTGGAAATCAGCAATAATTTATGCAGTGGAATGCTTACTAGAGAAAATTTCACAATCATGGTACCTGTTTGCTATTGAAATTCACACATTCACATGATATGCATACATCCCCACGTATTCACACATTAATGAGCTGTCATGATAAGGATCGTTTTTAGTTTCTGAATTAGGTTTGCACACTTAGAAGAAGGCTTTTTTGCAAGGTATAATCTATGTGTTTTTTTCTTTCCTTATATCTGGAAAATTGTTTTTAGACACATGAATGGTTATGTTTGAACAGAAATATGTAAAACAAACAAAAAATATAATAAAATCTCACACAGTTTAGTTTGTGGCATACTTCAGGTAACCTACTTCCACTGAATCTTTAATTGCTATGAGTTACAACAACATTTATATTTACATTTTATCCCCAAAAATTCTTTATTTTTTGGGAAAAAAATAAAGAATTATGAATTGTAATTGAAATAGAATTTCCCGCTAGACACAAAGGATGAACACAGATCCAATAACAATAAATGAACTTTTAGATTTTTGACAACAAAAATTTGCTTGCAGAAACATGACATCGTTAAGTAAAATAAGGAGCATCCTTGAAAGCAGGTGGCAGATTTTTATCCAGGCAAATAGCAGAATGTGTATTGCAGATGTTAAGTAGTTTGGTCAACTCCCTCTGAGAGTTGCTAAAAGCATTCCAATCTGTTGGACATGTTTGAATTGTGTAATTTCTGTTATTTTAAAGATAACTTTTACACAGGAACACTATTATGAGTCATTCTCTAAATAATGTAACAAGTATGGATGACAAAACCACTTTAACTGCAATTCGACAACCACTTCAGTCCCCTAGGCAATAATGCATGTAGTATCTGATGTAAATTACCATTAAAATTCAGCCTGCGGTCAAGTAACAAGTGCAGTGAGAGCGAGTATGATTCAGCTTTGTATTATTATTATTATTTTTTCATTGGTGTCTGATGTAGTGACAGACATACTACCAGGAAGCATTATTATTATTTTCATGGAAAAATATTTGCTGCTTCAAAATAACATTTCACATATTTTTTCTGTTTGCATGTTAATAACAGCTTAAGAGTACAGCTTATTTTTTTTCCTTCTCTCAGAAGATTTTCTATGAGCTTCTATTTATAGAGTTGGATGATGGGAGGTTTTAATAAATCCTTTTTCATCTGGATAACCGGGAGATCACCACTGGGTTTAAAAGAGCACTGTGCTTCCTGTGGCATCGTAGTGTCAGAGTGGGTGTTGCTGATGAAGAGCAAAGCATTATAAACAGCTGACAAGAGCTCCATTTGATAAAAATCACATGTCTTTGATCTTCTCAGTTCCTGGTAGGCCATTGCTTTTGGAGCACATCAAAGAAAAGCCAGGCTGGAGGTTGTATACTCAAGCTATTGGAACCTCAATACCTCAGCAGTGCTCCACATTGAAGAAGTATAGCACTTAAAGGTTGAAGCTCTTACCTAGTTAAGGATATTAGGCAGACAGAAAGAGAGGCCTCATTTCTTGACATTGTATCATTTTCAAAAGCCAAACCAGCAAAACAGAATCCAGATGTGCCACTTGGATGATTCATTTTCTCTGTGTTACTTTTAATCACACGTTCCCTTTTCATGAATAAAAAAAGTTGTAAACGGAGGCACAGTGGTACTCACAGCATGACAGATTAAAATGATCCTTCTCTTTTTTTTTTTGTTCTGGGTGTTCTCTGTTTGTGTGGGTTTTTCCTCCCACATCCCTCACAATCAAAATCAAGCAGGCTGATGAGTCTTAGCTCCTGCAAAGTGAATGACGGTGTTCTTCTTCCTCTTCTTCCTTTTGCTTTGAAATCCAATTAATGCTCGGATTAGCTCAAGCTAGTGTGACTGAATTTTGGAGCATGGGAGGTAATTGCTGGTTTAAGCAGAGGGAAGCTTTAGAGTGTTTTACAGATTTCCACTTTTAACATAAATTTAAGGTTAGAGTAGGCAGGTGTTCAGTAGCCAAACTCTTTGGTACCAATGGGTTGGCATGAAATTCTGATAGCATTAAACAAAAATTAGTTAGCGCTATATTTTAAGGATATTTGCATAAAAGATAGGGTTACAGTGTCATTCAAAAAAGAAAAGCCATAACTACTGCCATTAAAATAAATATTGATTATTGATTACTGATTATTTGAAGTTATATCATTGATACTAGCATATAGTGTCTTGCATTTTGCACTTTCTAGTTTTACTCTGGAGAATAAAATGATCAAGTATTACTAACATAATTCACAAAATTTGGAGTTTGATGCATTATTTCATTAAGTCACAGTTTGGTATGTATTTGCTACATTTAAATCAAGAGAAATGAAGAACGCTGCTTTTTTTATTTGACATTAAACAAAGATTGTTTACGTTTTCTGGCGATAACACACAACACAACCTGAGTGTGTTTCCAGAATGAAGACTATATGTTGTCTTTGGGCATTGGTTGACCGCTACAGGAGTTGAGTTTGCACTTAACTTATTTTACTTTATACCTGTGATGTGTACCTTATGCTTTAAAAACCACTATTTTCATAAGGCTAATGAAGTAGTGCTTCTTCAGTTCACAAGGAAAGTCTTATTTCTATTTTATTTATTTATTTTTGCATATGAAAATATTTCCAAATAGATTAATTTGCCTTTCTTCATCCACTGGAGAGTGGTGAAAAGTCACCTTTCGATAAGGGGTGATCTTATACTTTCTTTTGACAATCTCATTAAATTGACTTTAACCTAAAGAAGTGTCCAGGAATGATTCTGTTTTTCATTTTACCATGCTATATCTCAGCATCAATAACCACTTCATACTTATACTTTGTAGACTCTGGCTGCTGGAAAAAAAAAATCTAGCTCTAGCATTATTTTGTCAAGTGATTTTGTCATGTCTTTTGTCAGAAAACTAGAAGTTGCCCCTTTTCAAGTATCAGAGAAAATAAAAATGCTTTTTCTATGGGCTTAAAGAAATGTCCTCTGAAGTTTCCCCAATGACAACAGAGCAATATGAAAACCTGAAAAAATATTTTGTTTCT